GTGACGGAGCACTGGAACAGGCTGCCCAGGGAGGTTGTGGAGTCTCCTTCTCTGGAGATATTCAAGACCCACAGAGGTCCCTTCCAACCCCTACCATTCTGTGATTCTGTGATTCTGTGATTCTGTGAAAGGATCATGATGGCCAAGATAGAGAAAGACAGTGAGATCTCTGACTTAATTTCCCGTGTGAGCAGGATAAACTTTTCAAAGAACATGTCTCGCCACAAGGGTAAAGGATGAACAGTTTCAGAGCTAAGGATTAGAAATGAATGTGAGCTGCGAAGCTCACACCTGGCCAGGTCCTGATGCCCCCAAAAGTTAGATTATTTGGTTCATTCCATAATAAAAAAGTGTAGCTATTATCTCATGTCTTATTTGCAACTGCAGTGCCAGATGAAATACATTCTGCAAACCTAGAAAATTCATACAAGTTATGTGATGCACTTTGGGTCCAGATACATCTTAAAACTGGACCTGTTTTATGCCATAGCACATCTGCTACAGAGAGCACATCTCTCTCTATCATTTAAATCCCTTATCTGAAAAGACCAGGAAGTATTTTAGTTCAGTGAGAGCAAATGGTTTCAAAGAAAGCTTAGTAGCTGCTTAAGAATGAACCACGAGGAACAGTAACATGGGAACAACCAGAGCTGGAGAAAGGAGAATAACACCCTTGATGGTTATTAAACATGGAAAGGCTCCAGATAAGTAAAACCCAAAAAGGAAAAAAACCCAACCAACGCCAGCTGTAAGATACAGTTGAACCAGTCTGAAAAATAACAGGTAACTTCTTCTTTCCCTCCTCCTTCATGAGAGTCAGGCAGAAGTTTAGATCTGAAAAAACAGGTGCCCGCAAACTGCTTTACTCACCTTTTTTTGTATTGTGAGATAATTTGGTTTAAATATTGAGGGTCAGACAGTGGAGGCAGAAGAGAGATGTAGGAAGACTACGCTGGCTATCTACAGGGATTATGTGAAGCGGCTTGGCTTTACCTTCTCCAGCCTCTGTGCCAGCCACAATACCCTGCTAAAGGTGAGCGTTGCCTTGGGAAAAATAGAAAGGGAAGATTTTCAGTCCTGGATTCACTCATAGTCAGTAGCAGCCCTGGGTAGCCAGAGCAGCTCACGGCTCATCACTTAGCTCTCTTGCAGAGTTATCTCAACTAGTGAACGTGCGAGAACTGCAGATGACCTTGTCCATGCTGGATTTTCACCTTGCGTGCAAGCTAATGCAGTCAGAAACACCCTCACCTTTTTTTCATGTTGAGGATACACCCTTAGTAGTCATCCTCAACTCCACACACAGCAAGATCTCCTAAAGATAGATGCCTGAGATTACAGGAAGAGTTCTTGCAGGAGGTTCCCAGCATACCACACGTTGCAGAGGCTTTCCCCAGTTGCCAAAGAGGGCAGGGCAGCAAAGGGGTGGGAGAAGAAGTGTTCATTTATGAGCTAGTTTTAGGTTGTACTTGGTCTCTGCTTGGCACAAGTCCCTGTTGTAAGGAATGTGAAAAACTAAGATGCCAGGGCAGTGAGCAGGATGGGACATAAATCATCTGAGTCAGAGGACAGTGAATGCCACCAACAGCCTGGTACAGGTTTTCGCGGTCAGGTGGGTAGCCAGATGCGAGCATGGCACATAGTGAGCATTGTATGTTGTATATGAACCGTCAAGGTAAGGAGAAATAGGGAGAGTCTGTGCAAAGAGATCTTATGCAGAATAAGAAGCAGAAGTGAGGGGAAAGGAGGAAGAGGTAGGAAAGGCTGTTGGAAAAATGGGGGCAAGGCACAGAGTACACAAAGGCAGCCCACATTGCCCCATCGCCTAAAGGAACAGAGATCTTCAGTGCTGCCAGCCACAAACATTCAGGAATGTGAAACACATCAGGTTATGTCTGCGTGTGAGCAGCTGGGGGTTTGGGATTCTTGTTGGGCTTGGAGGCCACGCTGCTCCATCAGGTATGAACAGAGGGTGTTTCTCAGCAACACTCTGATTTCTTATAGCTGGGAATATTACAATAAATTAATAATCTAAAAATACTTTTGGTAAATCTGTCTGAGAATTGAAACATGCTTTTTTTTGCCAGGAGAGGACTGTGAATATTCACACCTACAGAGAAGAAATACACAGAGCAAATCTGCAAACAAGCCACACAGCTTCCACCTGGAGAATCTTTTTCTTCGTCTTGTCTTAGTCCAGCAGTTTTTATGCATTTATGCATATTGCCTGCTCTGAAGATCACATACATCCATACCTTCAGGCAGGAATTCAAACAGCTGAGAATTAACAGGGTTTCTTTACAAGCCTCAACAAACATGTGAAACAATTCACTACCATTCCTGCCATGGACTCTGTCTCTTCCTCACCCTCCCCTGGCATCCCAGGTAGGGAACTTGCAGAGATTGGAATCACCCTTCAGAAGCTGAAAAACCAGAAAAATCTGTGCAGGATTTTTCACAAGCCTGCTCAACATCATTCTGCCATCAGTCCAGTCTTCTTCCTCCTCCTTAGTTCAGGTGGATAAAGCTGGGTTTTTCTGGTTGCATTGTTGCATGCTTGGCACTTCTGCATAGATTCATCATTGCCCAGATCACTTGTTCATGACAGCTTTTATTTTTGTAAAACATAAATCATAATGTGCCATGTGAGGGAAAGGCTCAGGAAACAGAAGGCAAATTTGAAGAATCTAAACTTCATTGGCTCAAATTGCACTTATGCAATAGGTCAGTGGTATCATTTGCAACTGGTTGGAGCAGTTAATACTGCAACAGCCTGTTCAAAGTAGTCTCAGTTCCTCTTCTCTTGCAAAGTCCTGCAGCATTTTCTCTATGTTGAGTGCAGTGCTATAATCACAGCACATTTAGATGTAGCAGGAAGGAAGAGGCCTTTGGGTTAGCAGCAACAGACCAGAGGAGGAAAACAATATTTGAAATTACCTGCTTCTGTGGTCAAAAAGTTTTCTGCAGAAGGCATTGTAGTCTCTAGAAAGTCCCATTGCCAGTTGTTTCACATATTTGCAGTTACTTGAGTTTGAGAAATAACTTGAGCAAGAGACCTTCACACAGGTGTGCAGCTATCCACGAAGGCTGCCATGGCTGAGGAGCTGTCGGAGGGGTTTGGCCAAACAAGGACAGAGACTGTGTGCCTGCTCTGTCCCTGCTCCCACATTGCTCTCCTCTCTGCTGTTGCAGTTGGCAGACATTTGCAGTTCACAGCAAGTAGCAAAGAACCCAGTCCTTGCTATTGCGGTCTAACTTAGGCAGACACTTATTTTTCTTTAGATTTTAGCTTTCAGCTTCATGCACACACACCCACACACCCCAATAATCAAAAAACAAACCCACACCTCTTCCATACACAGTCCCCATGGTCTATCCATGTCCTCGAGTCTCACAAAAAAAAGTGCTGAAGACTGATTTCCTTACGGAAATTGCTGAGAGTTCAGGCTCTCCAAGACAGTCACCACCCCACAGAACCAGTGGAGTGGCTGATCCATGGAGATTTTCCTTTTTGATGGCATGCTCATACAGCAAAACCCCACTATGTTGCAGGGACCTTTTTCTCCTTTAAGCTGTTCACGCTCATAGCTGCTTCTTTCTCTCCCCCAGGACCTAGTGAGGTACTAATCAGCTACAGAGTTTCTGTAGCACAGTGCATCGTGGTGCTTTGCATTCAGATCTTCAGGACCGAATCACAGCATTCGAAAGCCTGCCTCTGCTCTGCCCCCGATGTCCCAGATACAGACCTTTGTCATTTCCACTTCCCAAACACACAATCTTGAGCAAGAAAAAATTTCACTTCCACTTCTTTTTAATTAGCATTTTTGTGAATATACAAAACCAAAGAATTAAGGCAGCTGGCAAGTGTCAGGACCTGAACCAGTACACCTCTGGAAGAGGCTTCACCTTAAAAAATTCAGTACAGGAGCATATTTCACAGGACACAGGTAACTGCTGAAGCGTTCGCTAGGAAAGGCATCACACCAGTCTGGGCCAAGGTAAACAGCCTCTGTTGAACTGAATGAGAACTGTTACTGCTGATGCAAGGACTGGATTTGGTTCAGTGAGCTCCTGGCTTGCATTTTGCACAAGAGTTACTCATTGCCCTTATTTGCCATTTGTCCTACGTGATCCGGGGATGTGGAAGGGGAGTACACAGGGGATGTGACCATATACATGCAGGTAGCTGAAGCAAGAAGCATAGTAATTTAGGGGTGTGGGACAGACACTTTCGCAAAGCCAACTATAGCGCAGGACCTCTTCTGTTCTGCACAAATTCTAGCCCATATGTATGTGAAATGTTGTGTGAAATACATAACAGCTTTCTGAAGGAGTCACTTGTTAGCAAGAGGAGGTTTCTGTGGACTGGCACTTCTGAAGGTAGGAGTGCATGCAGTAGTTTCATCAGTGACAGGAGGTAGGCTTGAATACAGGCAGCATATTGCTGAGGAGTGAGCTAGCCTTTTATTGGGCTTGACTAGCAACAGGCTTTTTATCTGTGACATGTATTTACTGCTGACACACTTAAGCTCTTAGAGAATCTGCCTTATTCTAAGGCAAGGGTTGACAGAGACCAGGAACAGAAAGTGAATGATAAAATATATTAGAGAGGTCTGTAGTCTTCTCCCTTGCAGCATTTGTCTTTATTGGTCACAGGAGGTTACAGTTTTGCTCACCTAGCCCTTACCAGAGTCTTTAGCATTACGATGTACATTCAACCTAGTTTTAAAAAGAGATTTTTCTGGAGCAAGTGTACATGGACATTTTCCTTTCTGATGTCATCACAGAACTAATAAGATCACTTCTTATCTTATGCTCCAAGGATTTCTTGCACACTGAAAGAAGGATTGTGCCTCAGCCAGGAGGCATTAAGGCTGCTGAACAAGGGACAAAGAAGGGACAAGAAGATTCTTTCCTAGAGTCATTAGCTCTGTGTGTCAAGTTTTTGGAGGGGCAAAAGTATATATGGGAGAGGTAGTGGGATAACTTCAAATCTTCCATGGCACAAGGAAAACGGAGCAGGAGATGAACGAATGCAGTTTCACATGGTGTTTCTGGACAGCGTTGAGGACATCGGGCCTTCAGTATTCAATTCTGCTCCAGTAGAACATGGTACCAAGGAGGACGCAGAACTGGAACAACAAGACTACTAAGCTTCTCTGCTCCCCAATTCCTTCTCCCCACCTCTCCCCCAGCTCCATTTAGTTCCACTGTTAGGAGAGAGCAACAGAAATTCTTTACAAGTGAAGTCCATTCAGGTAGAGGAAGCTTAAAGCATTTTATCTGCACAGAAGCTTCACAGTGCAGTTGTAACTATTTACTGGATCACTCAGCTCACTGGGGATCTATCATGATTACTGTTTAGATGATCCAATACCCTTCACAAAGGCCATCTAGCTCCTCGCCTGTAGAAGCCAGAATGGAGGGGATCTTGTAAATGCAGCTTTGTTAGTGGAACAGGCTACCGGCAGATTGGTGATGAATGAATAACTATAATGTACAGACATTTTCAGTGCGTCAGTCCTGTCATCTGCCTCCACCCAACTGGGTGTGTGATAGTAAGGAAGGAGAAGAGGAAATAAAGGCAGATATTAAGTACTCACAGTCCAGCAGAGGATGGCAAAACCAAACCAGGCAACGCCCCAGGCATGTGTGTTCATTGGCCCAGAAATAGCATCATAACAACCCTGCAAGACAACCGTGAATCAGTCAACATCAGCTTTGAGCTTGTACCACAAGGCGACAAGCTCATCCACGTCTGAGAGAGACTGAGGTGGTGTGCTCCTCTCCTATGGCAATTTAGATAGCTCACAGGGTCTCAAGAAGACAAGCCAGAGCTACACTGCTTACTGACAACTTGCAGATAGCTTACTGTTTCTAGCTCCAAATACAAAGTAGACTCACCTCGGACACTTCAAGCTCAACTTCCTGTGCCATCCACTCGCCAAATACACACATATAACCGAACACAGCTAACACAGAGTTGACCTCTAGAATCAAGAAGCTGCAGGCAAATTTGGAAGCTTGAATGCCTTCTAGAAATGCTTGCTGGTGCAGAAGTTGATGGTCCTGACCCAGCAATCTGTTTGAATAGGACAAGCTGGCCTACTGAAAAGTTCTGCCTTGAGGAGAATTGCTGACTCCCTCACTTGTATGGTATGCATTCATCTTTGGGCTAAGATTGATTTAGCTGCTGTCCATCTACATGTTGGAGATGTCACTTCTTACTGGTGGCATTGGGACAGTTTTCCTAATAGTTCTCTTTCCATCAGGAAAACCTCTATTAAAACCTATCCTGTGTTCAGCAACATGGCCAGGACCCTACAAGCATTGCTTCCCCTCCAAAATGCTTTTGAATGCCTGTAGCTTACAGTGGAGGAGCAAGGCTATTCTCTGTTTCTTTCCTTTCCAGCAAGGTGCTTATGACCAACATAGGTTAACTGGAAAAAGTGGAGAGGATCTTACATTGCTGTTATAGTAGCCAGGGACTCCAAGCTTGCAGCCATCGAGGTTGACAGGAGACCCTTGGGCATCCATGACACAGCAATTGTGTGGCCAAGGGAAGTCGGCATCGCTGTGCGTGGTGCGGAAGGCGGACATGTACTCCTGCCAGTCGGTGGGGCCCTGCACCCCGCAGCACTGGTTCTGCCAAGCGAGAGAAGGGAACGGTCTTTACAGGCCCAGGTCACAGCCCTGCACATGGCGGATTAGGCATTAACCACAAATTTATGGGAGAGATTTTTGAAGTGCCTGCCTTTGACAGTCTGCCATCTGATAAATGAGCAAAACAGGGAGTGTGGCAGGACTTTCTCTAGGGTTCAAGGCAGATGCCATCCTCTTTATCAGGTCCCAAGGAGGACTTGAAATTCCAGGGCTGCAGAGCATTCAGTAATTAGTGAGAGTTTTCAGTGTTGTTATTACCTCAAGCATGAGTTTATCCCATGTCTTTGTGACCCCTTCAGTCATCCATTTGTCATTGTTATTTATGGGCTCTGACTTCCGATACATCTCCAGCATTTGCTTTAGGAAGAGATTCGGAGTGAGCTACAGAAAAAAACACAAAGAATGCAGGAACTATGTAAATAAGTGACCACGTAAAGCAAATATGGGGTTGTTTGGGGTGGGTTTGTTTGCTTGTTTCAGTCCTGCTAGAGAACAGGAATCCCCCAGTTTTATGCACAGGAGACTGAAGAGCAGGATTTGAGGAGCAGGAGCAACAAAGACATACATCTTGAGCACGACTCTTCAGCAGGCCCTACCAGACGACAGATCACAGGAGATGTGTGAAAGCTATGGGTTACATCTGGTATGTTGCTTGGAACTGAAGCACCACAAGCTGTTTGCACCTCTGCCAATATCTCCAATAGCTCACGTAATCTTTCCTTCACTAATAACACTGCCTAGGGCAATGCTGAAGATTTGTCTCCTGCATGTATGATAGATTAATCAGTCTGTAGGTGAAAGACTAAGCACTGTATTGATGATTCATCTAACCCACGCTATTATTTCCTTAACTGCAAGGTTGTAAACATTTTAAAATGTTAAAAATAACAAAACTATGTTAAAAAGAACAAAGTTATTCCCTTAGTTGGAATAATGATGTTGGAGACTTTCTTTGTGGGAGCCTTATTCTAACTCAGCAGTAGTCCTTTGAGTTTCCACTGTACCACCATTCAGGCCATTTACACTGAACAGGACAGCCATGTGCCCTAGGACAGCAACATTTCCCAGCGTGGTTACAAGAACACACGAGGAAAGCAATACTCACAAAGTCTCGGTGCGTCGCTGCTGTGATGCAAGAAGCCATTTCAAATGCATAAGTGATCAGCATCAGAATAATATACTGTGGGAGAAAGACAACAGAGTTAGCTCTTGGAGAAACAGTTATGCAGTTCCTTCCAGTTATATATTTTTCAAGATTAAGCCCAAAACCCCACTCAAGACAAAGGAGGCCAGTCTGTCCCAGTCTTCTCAGTCCTCTCCATTCCCTTGAATATTCTTGTCACCCTTCCCTGTGCTTGTTTCAGTTTGCAATCTATTTTCTTGAAGGTCTACAACTGGAATTTGTTCTCCATCTCACAGGCAAGATTTCATCAGAACCTCATGGCATTAACACCACCCTGCCTCTGTAGAAAATACTTTGCCTGATATGTCCTAGAGTAACACTTGCCCTTTTCTTTGTTGCATCTTATTGGCAACTTACACTTGTTCCATTTCTCCTCCTTTCACTTTCACTTGCCAGCTATAAGCTTTTCAGCAAGAAGCTGCTCACTCCTAGCAGAAGAGCTTGTGCTTTCGGGAAACAGAAGGTGCCATTTCGGGTGTCGTTCAGATTCTCTTGAGTTTGCATTATCAGATACCCTTCAGCATTCCTACTTTGATCACCTCTCGTAGTCTATTTCACTGTTTCTCTTCCCTTTTCAGCACAACCACTTTAACCTTTCCCATATTCCCTTTGCAGTTCTTGTGCCTCTGTTTCTCCTCCCACATTCCATAATCTTCTCAGATTCCAGGCATTTGTTTTCTTCTTACCCCAGCTTCTGCACCTTGTAGCCTCTGTTCTCTCCCATATCACAGCCTTGGGTTTCAGCCAAGACACCAAAATGCCGACTTAAGGGAATACTCTTCCATCAGCTGTTTGCTGGCAAATTCCCTGGCACAAGAGTTCAGATCTCTAAGTGTCTGCTGTTTAAAACAGGCACCCTGCCATCCCATATTAATCCAAGAGAGAGCCAATTCCAGAGTTTTCAGTTCAACTCAGCTTTAATGCAAGCACCAATTAAGTTTCACCACCATCAAGCTGAAGGACTAAGTAAGAAATCATACAGAGGCTTGTTCACATCTCAACATTGTCCTTCGCTTATCCAAAGTTCTCTGTGTCCACCCCTGTAATTTCTGCCTGCTTCCTGATGTCTAATGTTCTTGATTGCACCCATATTTGGTATACTAACACATACTAATGTCTTGCACAGAACTCATTACTTGTTAGCTCCTGAACTGAATCGTACATGACAACTGAAAGGCAGTAAGGGGTGGAGAGAAACAAGGATCTAAACTGCATCCCAGCTACATCTGATTGCACAAGTGCTTCTGCATCGCTTCAGGACAAGGTCAGGGCCAAGCCAGTCAGCTTAAACCTCCACTGTGGATATCACCATTAATTCCCTCATCCTGGTTCGGGAGCTTCTCATGCATGTGTGCTCACAGGAGTCACCTTGTGGGAGACCACAGCCATGGTCAAGAAGAACCTTTGCCTTCTCATGACTAAAAAAAGCTGTCTTTGCTCAGTGCGTGATTACCAAGGTGAACAGGGAAACTAAGCTGGCATTTTTTTCGGTTTGGCAGCAATGGTTGGGCAAACTTTGCTATACTTACCACCAGCAGCAAGGTCCTTTTGGACTTAATGACTCCAATGATGCCAAGGATAGACAGAGCAAAGAGTGCAAAGCCAACAAAGATGCCAATCCAAGCAGCAGCATAGATGTCATCATTTTCTGTGGCTTCCAGCAGAGGGTAGAGACCATGCGGATCGGACACAAAGAAGATGCACTCTGCTGTAAGGGCAATGCCGCACATCTGAGAAGTTCAAGTTAGGAAAATGCATTAGATCAAGCTTCCCCAAAGGAATAGTAGAGACAGAAGAAGATGGAGACTGCTTTCCTTTCATTCAGCTTCCTGCCAAACAGGAGCTACCCTACTCCTCCTCTGCCCAACTCTACAATCTCTTGTATTGTGCCTTGACAGAAGAATTGCAGGAAAAATTCACCCAGCCTAGACTCGAGAGGTCAGGCCTAGGACTTGAGGATGTTAAGGAGGAATGAACAGAACCTTTCCCATCACTATATGGAGGGAGGTGGCTGGAAGGATGTTGGTCAGCTGCAAGGGTTCTTCCTCTGGAACTCATATTGGTCTTGTGGATCAGCCTCTGCTGTCCCTTGCTCTCTCCTCCCCACCCAACTGATCAGCTAGCACAGCTGTCCTTTACCCCTCCTCTCACTCTTTGCTGGTCTATTTATTTAGATCTACTTATTTCCTTTATTTATTTAGAGGAATTTTATGGCTGGGGGCCAGGGTTTTAAGAAGTGTCATACTGAAAGGAAGCCTCCATCCATACTTGTCGTGCTTCACTTACCCCAATTACCACATTCCCAAAGACTAAGAGACCCTGCAAGATGTGTATGCCATCTCCACTTTTTGCCATCTTTAATTCTTCATGCAACCTGGGAAAAAAGACAATCGGCTGGGAACCATGGTTTTAAGAAGTGTCATACTGAAAGGAAGCCTCCATCCATACTTGTCGTGCTTCACTTACCCCAATTACCACATTCCCAAAGACTAAGAGACCCTGCAAGATGTGTATGCCATCTCCACTTTTTGCCATCTTTAATTCTTCATGCAACCTGGGAAAAAAGACAATCATCAGTCAGACTAGTACAATAGGCTTCACTCAGAAATAGAAATTATCCCTGAGGAGAAAGATAGACAGAACCTAGACAGAACCTGCCAGCCTGTCTGTACACCTCCCACCTCTGCCTTCACAGTAGTTTCAGAGGAGAAACTTCCCCAGGTATGAATCTGGTAGCTCAAAATCTCCCTGATACTTGAGCTACAGAAGATTGGGACTACTTTGGGGCAGCCTGTGTCTTCGTCTCCCTTTTGAGTGGGGTTTTCACCATCACAACAGCACCTGTGCAAACCTCAGCTCATGGTGTTGCATTTCCACCCAGCTAGAAACACCAGCTACACCCAGATGGACAGAGGACAAGTTCAGTGCCCTCACTTTGCCCCTCTTCCAAAGGAGCCAGACTTAACCCAGGGTGTGCTATCCACCCAGCTGGCTATTTAATTTTGGCCAGCACTGGCACAGTTTGACCGGACTGGTAACCACAGTGCTTTAGCTGTATCTCACACTCACACCTATGGCGCACAGCTTGGCACCACCCTGCTAAGGGCAGCCCAATCTGCCCCCCAGGCCAGGAATTGGAGCTGGGTCTCCCACTCCCACCCAGGCACAAGGGATGGAGGAAGCAGCTCAGGCTGCAGCGGGCTCATGGGAGCTGGGCCAAATAGCATTCCCACCAAATTCCTGAGTGCACTATATCCTGCAAGCTGGGGCCAGGCGCCCCACGTGGAATTCACCCCCTTCCAGAGTGAGCGGCATAAAGGCACTAGTCAGAGGTGTGAGACCTCTTGGAGAAACAGGTCCAGATGCCAGCACCAACGAATCCCTCCTTTCAAAGAGACGGAGTGCGTGTGTGCATGGAGAGGGGGAGAGAAAACTCCCCCAGCCCCCAAGACAGCTGCCTTTGCTGGGTGGCTGAGAAAATATAATCTGTGAAAGAAAGGCTGAAGTGGGCTCAACTTGAGCAGACAACAGGAAAAGCAATTTAAATGCCCCTCTTCTGCTAGAGTACCTGCACTAGTGCCTTCTCTTGCTGGGGTTACTGACTCTGAGATTCTTCAGATAAGTTGTTGAAAATAAGAGCAGACACAGCTGTCAATGAAAGGGAGTTTCTTGAGGAACAGAGCATTGCAGGACCTCTCTAACAATGCCACCTTCAGCCTCCTCAGCAGCTGCCCTCTTAGGGTAGGCAGGACTTCCAACAGTGACAGAGGGAAAACCAGCACCCTTTCTGCAGTGGTTTGAGGATAGGCACAGAGAGATCTCCAGTGCTCTCACCATTATACAAGCAGCAGAGTATGTAAGTATTTTTGGGTGATAGCGCACCTGGGGATGGGCATTATTTCCCAGGTAAGAAGCCTTTTTTATTGCCAGCCAGGCTGTTGGAGGCCAGGCCAATACACCTGAATCTGTACAGCTCTGTACTTGAAAATGGCAGGCTTATGAGGTCAACCTAAAGCCCTTTTCCTACCAAACTTGTTGACAAAACAGCATGCCCAGAGGCCACATAAAACTGCATCACAGGTCAGATCTGGGTCTGGGCATTGTTTGACTACGTGTGGTCTGCAATACAACACTGCAGATTTTGCCAAACCTGAGACCAACATGGGTCCTCCACTCATCTGAAAGCTGTAGGACCGCTGCCTGGCTCATGGATCTTCGTGCTGCAAATTTCAGAGATTTTAAAAAAGCCTTTGGTTATAGGCAGTCAGGGGGAAGTCCAAAAACCAAGGAAATCTTCCCTGTTTGAATTCAAGCTTGTGAACTCCATTACATGGAAAAGCAGGTCTGCTCCAGCTGCCATGTAGATAGCAGGGTTGAGCGTGCCATGTGGCTAGCGCGACAGATCACACCAAGTGTGGTTAACAAAGTCACAACCTTTTCTTCGCAGTGCAGGAACCTCTTTCTCCCTCCCTGTCTCTCCTACAGTCCGCCCTGCAGTGTAACGTCAGCACTCACACCTTGTACCTGGGCTGTCCACCCAGCCCACGTGCTTGTCTCCCCACAAGCTGGCTTTGTTCTCCTCCCTGGCAGGCAGGACCTGGCTCGCTCTTGCCTCTCCTTGGGCAGGTATTACTGCAGTCACACCAGCCTGAGAAAGCAAGACTCTTCTCCTGGGGCAAGCCCATCTCCTAGGCTACTGTAGCTGCAAGGAAAGCCGGACACAGTCACCACCACACAGTTATCAGCTGGAGAGCGGCACGCTTCTAGGCAACCTAAGGCTCTACTCTACCTAAGTCTGATGGGATTGCAGGGTGGAGGGAAGCAGACACACCGGGAAGAGGAAAAGGGAAGGAAGAACCTTTACTGTAGACCTAAAAATAAACACTGGAATGATGTTGCCATATTAGTAGGAATTCTCCCTCTGCCTCCCAGTCATTGGCACTGAAGGACTCCATTTCTCGGTGTCCCCTGTGCCACACGTGGCAAGCCCTTCTCTGGCCACTTCTCCATTGTAGACAGTCTACTACTGGCATCACAGAAGAGAGGGTGAGGAGGTGCTCCAAGGCTGTGACAACAGCTGGGAAGCTGGAGAGCCGATCCTCCAGGGGAGAAGCTGTGGGAGATCTGGGTCTTTCCACCCACTGCGTGCTCCTCATGCCTCAGAGGTAAGCTGCATTAAGCAAGAGCAGCTTGCACAGCGCTTGGTGCAGGTGTGTGGCTACAGAGGCATGAGGCAAACCTTGGCTTGCCCTAGCCGAGGCAAGCTGAATGCAGGTGACTCACAGCCACCCTCGGGTGTGACGTGGTAGGCAGCCCTCCTCCCATCCCCCGGAGATATGGGTGCCAGCAGCTTCTGCCTGCAGACACAAATCGGTTTGGAGGTAGAGGAACCTTCTTCATGGGCTGGTTAAGATCACTTATACGACCCAAATACAGTTTCCTGGGGCTTCAGGGAAACCCCTGATGAAACCATAGCTTCAGTTGTAACCGTTACCCAAAACCTCCTCACAAGAAGGCAGCCAGGTCATGGGATTTCAGCTTTGAGCTTGCATGGACCTGGTGTTCCTCAGCACATCCCAGGAAGCTTGCAATTTAGCCGTGACCTGTCTAGGTGCCAGGTATTCAATTATCGCTATCACAGACTTTCCTCCATGCTCCAAGCAGCTTTGGAAAAGTATCTGTTGCTCTCATTGTACCACAAAAACCTACACCCCTCCTGAAGCACATCTTTCTTCCTCTTTCTTACAGCCTAGTCACAACCCACACTGCAACTTCTTCCCTCTCCTCTCCCCCTACACCCCAAAACACTCCTGACAATCATGGGGGTCCAGTTGGGCCCATCAGAGCCCAGGAGCAGTGGTAGCCCTGCCTCCTCTGCCCCTCCACAGATTGCCTACAGACTTGTTATTTCCATGCCCTCAGAGCTTTCTTGACCTCTCCTCCTTTCCTCTGCTCACAAGGGCTCTCCTGGACTTGCAGCACGACTGTGGCAGCCAAGAAGGAAGCTCCTTTCTGCAGAGGCTGTATTCTGCCCTTGTGTTTTAGGTGACCAGCCTCACGTGGGCTTTCAAAGGAAGCCCTGCTCGCAGTAGTTCCTGGATGCAGGCAGGATTCAGTCTCTGTTGTGCATCCCTCACACCCACTGGGCTGGTGGAGCTTTTGAAGCCTCCACACCCTCTTTCTATAGATTGGGATGGGATTTCAGTAGCCTCACAGACTAATGCCCTCTGCTTACCTAGTCCTACTCCATCATCAGCCAGAAGAGCCAGTGGGTAAGAATGGGTTTGGCATTGCCCCATGCAGAAAAGCACGTTGCATTTTGATTGCCTTGCGCTTTGTGCCAGTTGTCATGGTGGAGTCACGGCACTGAGACCAAGGGATGTCCAAAAACCCTCCTGTGAGCATCATTTGTTTCTACACCCTGCTCTTCGAGGTTTCTTAGTGCAGCAGCAGGGCTTATAGAGGCTTCACCTCACCCCTTGCTACCCGCCTTGCTTCAGCATCCCTGCACAGGGTGTTGCATTCTCATCCCTTAGTGTAAGGAGGCAGGGAGAAGGGACATATTTGTTTTATTACTCACGGGTTCTGCAATGTCCAGATGCCTTGACTGAAGGGCTCCAAGCCACTGGAGCACAACTAAACAAACCCAGCCCTGCAACGGCAGAAACCCGGTCCTTGCTGGCAACCCCCTCCAGAGCAGAAGCCCGGGAACACACCTCCTGCCCCTCACGCTCCCCCGCCCCAGCTGCGAAGTGTGTCTCTACAGGCAGGAGAGAGATGCCTGGGCTGGGGCACTGATGGAGGGAAGCCAGCAAGGTGGAACTGCTGCCGGAGGTGCCGTGCCAGCACTGGTGCCGGTGCTGGTGCCGGTGTCGTGGAAAGCGTCCAGGAGCCACAGACCTGTCCACACCCTGACCTGCTGCAGGCTCTGATGCATCAAGGCTTGAGGGGCCAGACAGAAATAAACCTACTTTTATTTTTTTTTCCCCAATTTGTTTTAGCACAAGATTTAGCAACTAAAGGGCTTAAAAAGAAGGGAGTTTCCAAGTGTTTGGGACATCTGCAGCATTACACAGTTTCTAAGAGGATGCAATTAAATATGTTCTTGGTGAATTGCTTGGACTCTGCTGTAAAAAGCCAAATTCTTTACAAGTGTCATTTCATCATTGTTTACTTATTTGAAAGCAAACACCTCCAGCGCACACAAACCCACATACTCCTCCTCTCCTCCTGCCCCGCCGGACTTTCCCCATCGCTCCACCTGCCCCGAAGTGCAGCCGCCTCTGACAGAGAACAGCTTGTGCATCAGGAGTCAACCACACTCAGAAAACGAAGAGCCAGCCAGCTATTTTGTG